TATTGCAAAATTTAAGAGACACAGTTTTTCATTATTGTAACACACACACACACTTAGGAAATAGCTGGATTATTTTAATCAACTTTTTCCTGTATTTGTTAGCTCACCCCACAGAAAAATCTAAACTACTGTCAATAGAGGTTTTTCCATATAAAAAACTGGTATCCATGACCACCCAGAGGTTCACTGCTACATGAATAACACACGTTATCAGGACTGACTCATCTGAGCAGTGCGCTGCTCCAAAACATGGGAGGAAGGAAAAATATAGATTGCTTTTGTATGGGTTACTGAAAGTTTAACATGAATTCACAGAATTCCAATTTTGTTAGGAAAGTCTTTAACCAGGAAAATGGATTTACAGAGCAGTTGACTATTTTTCATGGCAAAATAGGGGAAAGTTAGTGGAACAGCTGCACAAACAGAAACATTCAGCGTATGATAAAAGTGTAATAACTTTATAGCATATTCTCCTATTAAGGTTAGTTATGTAAAGTTAGACAATTAGGGATGCACCGAAATTTCGGCTGCAGAAATTTTCTAACGAAAATGGGTCACATCTGCTGAAAATAGGGCAGAGTGACTTGTCAGATCCCGACATTAGGAGGGGGCTCGGTGGCTTGCCCTGTGTGCCACCGTCTGCGAGGCCCCTCCCGTCTGCCTGGGGGGGGGAGAGTGTCTATACAGTCTGCAGCTCCGCCCGGAGTGAGCTGCAGACTGTGCTGTATCTCGCGATCTCTGGCAAATCAGAGCATTGCTGCGGCTTACCACCGCAGCGGTCTGACTTCTGGAGCTCGCGAGATACAGCACAGTCTGCAGCTTACAACGGGCGGAGCTGCAGACTGGGGAGACAGACCACCGGACCACCAGGGAGCATGGACACTGAAAATACAGTACAGTCTGCAGCCAGGACACTGGACCAAAAAAAAAGAAAAAAGGAGGTATTTCTAACCCCCTCCCTCAATCTCCACCTCCCTCAGTCATTGTCAAAAGGTACCCCATCCCTCAGTCACCAGTCAATCTGTCACCCACTCCCTCCCATACTCTGCCACTAGGCACCCCCCTCCCTTACCATGTCACCCCTTCCCTCACTGCCACCCAATCACTGCCAACTGTCACTCCCTCCCACACTCTGGCACCCCAATCCCACCCCACACTATGTGTCCTACCCATACTACAACCCTATCACCCCACACTACGTGCCCTAGACACACTACATCCCTAGCCCACCCCACACTGTGCCCTACACACTCTACATAACCTACAAACTGCATCGCTATCCCACACACATTACATAACCTACACACATCTCTATACTGTACCACACCATGTTCCCTACACACACTATATACCCTACACACTACATCCCTTTCCCACACCTCACTATATTCCATACACACACTGCATCCCTTTCCCACACCTCACCATATTCCATACACACTGCATAACCAACATAAATCATTGGTGGCGGGGGGAGTAATTTTCGGTTTTCAGCCAAGGGAACGCTAAATTTTCGGTTTCGGACCAGAATTTACATTTTGGTGCATCTTTATAGATAATCGGCAGTAATGATGCTCTGTGTCAAAATAGAGAAGTAAAATCCACATGTACGGTGATTCGTGTTGACAGATACAAAGCTACTCTGGGCATTTCATATGGATGAACTCGTTGAGATGCTGTACAGCTGCAGCACCAACACAGACGTGTTTGCATTGCTGCCTCTAATGTGAGAGCACATGGGAAACTTTTGTAACAATCTAATGTTGCTAGTTTATTATACAAATAGCCCTAGGCTACATTAAGGAATACCATAACTGCATAAAATAAAACCATCTAACTACAGGATGGGGTAACATCACTATCATAAGCAAACACAATAACAGTAATAGAGCATTTGCTGGCTACAGCAATACCTATGCAATTACGACACTTAATTGCCCTTCACTGCCAGGAGTATAATTTTGTTCCCTCTTCAGGTTTATACTTCCTTCAGCATTTTCACAAATACCATGCTGTATAATTAGTGCTTCTTTTGGACTTAATTGTAAATTTGTTTTGCATAATGAGCCCCACAGCTGACGCTGTGCCTATTGAGATACATCCGAAAGTTCTTGATTTGTTCTGTGTAACCATCCAAAGTGTCTACATGAATTACTTATTTGTAATCAAGTTAAATTAAATCTTATTGTAACCTAGCTGCTTTCCTGTTGGATGAAAAGACTAAATTTTTCAAGAAAAATTAAAATTTATTTGAGATTAGATTTTCTTTTTTCCTTCTCCTTCTTTGTTCTTACTATTTTTGTATTCTTTTGTATAGTGGTATAGCACATATTTTAGCAATGAATAATTTCAGGGCAGAAATAAAAAAAAAATTTAAAAAAATTAAAAAGACAAAAAAGGCTTAACACTTTTCATTGGAAATTGACAAAAATCAGAATGCGGCACTGTGATCGTATTTAATATTTTTGAACTGTCATTAACTAGCGCCTGTCTATTGTGTGTGTGTATATTATAAATATTTTATCTTTTTTTGGTTTCCAGTTAAATGTGTAAAAACTGATAACGTATCTTATATGGCTTCTTATTAAAGCTTGTGACACCACTAGTGTGTTACTAAATCTTAAATTGTTGTCTACACTATAACAGATATCCTCAAGTGTGGCATTATGAAGAACAATGCCACCACACCACAAACAAATAGGGCAATTTAATAAGGTAGGACCATTTGAGACCACCAGATCATAAGTTGTGCAAGTACAGACTAAACAAAACAATTTCTTATGATTACAGTGTACATTAATAAATGTTCATGAAAAAAAAACAGTAATGGTGCATGCAGTGTCCCTATAAATTGCTATGAAAACTAGACCTGCTCTTCAATTAATATGAAATGCACTAATTTGTGTACATAGTGACCAATTAATAAAAGCTGCATAGTTAAAATCAATGTTCAGTCCTATTTTGAAAAGTATTTATTTAATCAAAACATTCCACTTTTGTTTGTTTTTTTAGGGAGCCAAATTTTGTTATGGGCACAGAGTAAATCTATGGGGCAGTTTGGATGCGCGTATGTGTATTAGGTCCCCAATGCTCTTCAATGAGGAACTATGGTTTGGACCCTACCAGAAGAGGACCTTTCTCCTTCGTGACTGAGCCTTTGGAGGAAAGGTGAATAGCGCAGAGGAAGCAGCAGAGGCTGGAAACAAGGAAAGTAAAGAAAGGGTTTTAACCATTTCAGTGCTGAATGTCAGGAGGGGGGCTATTATAGTACTAGGGACATGAACTCTACAGACTAAATAGATTTGTATTTCTAATTCCTAGGGCTCCTTTAATATGGAATAAAAAGTGAGTTAGTTATAAATGGAACCGACAGTTATTTTAAAATCTTAACTTAAAAGAACTTTGCTGCAGAGGGATTTGGATAGATTGGGGGACAGGGCACTAAAATGGCAGATTACATTTAACGTAGAGAAATGCAAAGTTATGCACTTCGGGTTTAAGAATGCACAAGCAATTTACACCCTAAATGGTAGCGAATTAGGGATAATCACACACGAGAAGGATTTTGGAATTGTTATAGACAACAAATTAAACTGCAATATGCAATGTCAATCTGCAGTTGCTAAGGCCAGTAAGGTTTTGTCATGTATAAATAGTGGCATAAATTCTCGGGATGAAAATATAATTTTGCCTCTTTATAAATCGCTCGTAAGACCACACCTTGAATATGCTTTGCAAATTTGGGCACCTGTTCTAAAGAAAGATATCATGGCACTAGAAAAAGTGCAGAGACAAACTACAAAATTGATAAAAGGAATGGAGCATTTTAGTTACGAAGAAAGGCTAAAAAAAATCTGTTTAGTTTAGAAAAACGGCACCTGAGAGGGGATATAATAACATTATACAAATATATTCGGGGACAGTAAAAACCTTTATCTGAAAATTTATTCATAAACAGGGCTATATATAGGACACAAGGTCACACCTTTAGGCTGGAAGAAAGAAGATTTCATCTAAGGCAAAGAAAAGGTTTTTTTGTTACAGTAAGAGCAATAAGGATATGGAATTCTCTGCCTGAAGAGGTGGTTTTGTCAGAGTCTATACAGATGTTTAAACTGCAATTGGATAAATACTTGCAAAAACATAACATACAGGGATATAATTTCTAATTAGTGGGGTAATAGCTGCTTGATCCAAGGAGACATCTAACTGCTATTTTGGGGTCAATAAGGAATTTTTCTTTCCTAGTTTGTTGCAAAATTGGAAGCATTTCAGAGTAGGTTTTTTTTGCCTTCTTTTGGATCAACAGCAAAAACATATGTGAGGAAGGCTGAACGCAAGTCTCTTTTTAGCTATGTAACTACTCGGAACAATACTAGGAAGTACCTCTAGCAGCCATCTGAGGAGTGGCCAGTGGAGTTATCATATCAAGCATCTAATGTTCATCACAGGATATACTTTAGAGGATCTGCATTTTGGAGAAGCATTTAAAATAAATGCAAGGTTTACCATATTTAGCACTGGTAGTGCTTTGTAATATACATTTGAAGATAATATAACATGATTACACCTCAAATATAGAGAATGAAAAATTGTTCATGTCTCTGTACATGATCAGAATCCACATAGGTTATCGTGTTCAGTGATTGGAAACTCTTAAATTAAAATTTGAACAGCCACAAATAGATCTTTCTTACAATATTTATGAACTTTAAATAACAAAATATTTACAAAAACAAGCTTTTACAAATATAAATGCAAATATTGCTAAAAATGCAAGTGTTACTATATAACAGTTAAACTGTCAGTAATATTCAAACGTAGACAGTCAGGAATTCAAAGTAAACTTAAAATGTTATCCCAAAAGAGCTGAAAAACAAAATTAGCTGGCACAGCTAGGAAATATTCCAATTAGGTGATTTTGGCAACAAAGTTCAAATTCACTTTGCATTGCCAACACTTCACTTTAGTTAATAACCCTGTGTACATAATTGGTTAGTCTACTCAGAATCCGAATCCTCTAACATTGAGGGACCCTTGATCTGTGTGAAAATCAGCACTGCTTCTTCATTCAACACATTCTTTATATTGTATAGGTTACCTGCAGGTAAAAAAAAAAAAAAAATGCATTAAAATAAATCATTTTAACAAATATATCAAAATACAACCAAGACAATAACATACACTGCATAGGTGCATTGTACTTGCAACTGAACATTCTACTGAACATAAAGAAAACAACAGAATGAAGTAACCGCAAGAGTTAATTTATTTCTCCTATGTACCACCATGACTAAATATATATTTAATTAGCAGTGATAGATGGACAGTGCTATGGGTGGGTTATGACTGCACTTTCATCCTATCTTAGCTAACCAAAGTTTGATAGGCTAATGCAGAAGCTTACTTTTACATTAGGGAAGTTAGTTAGTCTTTAGTTACCAGGGAAGCCAAGTTTTCTGTGAAACCGGTAGAAACCAGTTTTGCATAGCTCAATGAGATGGCAGCCAAAGAGTATTTATGCCATAAACACTAGAATAAGCCATAATTGTAAGGGGAAGGGCACAAAGCAGTGAGTGAGTACAATGCAGATTCTTAGTTTCTCTATGGCGCTAGTGCTACTCATTCTGACATTTTCTTAATGGATTCAGACAAGGTTGATTTGCTGGGGTGCATGAAAGGCCCAAATAGCCTTGAAAATCTACTTACCAGGTGGTACAAAAAATGAATCCCCAGATTTCAGCTGGTAACTGGTCACATGAATTGTTACTTCTACATCACCTTTAATAACGTGAAAAAGCTAAAAAAAAAAAAAAAAAAATGATGTAATGGTTAGAAAAATATCCAAGTATTAAATAGGCAAAAGTTCAAAAATACAACATATATCAAAAAGGGAAAAAAAACACATTCACATGATAATTCACTAACCTAACAGAAACTAGAAATGTGGCTTCAAACAAATGTAAACATTGCCATGAAACTGTAATGCTTTATGGCTACGCTGTCTGGGGAAAAAAAAGGAACAGGGTCTCTGCACCAAAATTATTAATAATTAAATAGAAAACACACAGTGGATGAGCTACATACTAAATTGTCCTATAAGGAACAAAAACCAAAGGTGGTTTTTGAGCTTAGAGTGTCCTTGACTTGTACACATGTTGGACTTTTTACATATTATATACATATGAGCTATACAAAATATTAAATGGTCACTGTAAGAGACATAACCACTATCCCTTTGCTCCAGTGCAGTTGTCTGCTGGAATCACGTGAATCTCTAGAACTTGGCTGATTTGGCTACTCACAAACAGCCAAATTGCGGCTGAATTCCTTTCATTTGGTTGATTCAATCCCCACTAACAAACCAGGGGTATTGCACTTCTAACTAAAGGGACACTATAGGCACCCAGACCACTTCAGCTCATTGAAGTGATCTGGGTGCAGTGTCCCAAGAAACTGCAATAATTACCTTTCAGGGTCAACTCCACCTCTATCAGCTGTCTACCAGGCAGCCACTAGAGGGACTTCCAGACTGTCAGGTGACTTTTGGGTGCCTGACGATGGACATCCTCACGCTATGCATCCATATGCGTCCAGCATCACACAAAATCCCATGCGAAAACATTGTAAATGCTTTCCTATCTGGAAATCCTAATGTGAGCGCGGCTAATACCACGCATGCGCAATAGATCTCCCCCGCCGGCGGCAGGGAAGGAGCGAAGGCAGACTCTAGGTGTCAGAAGGGGCTGGGGGAATCCACAGTGCCAGGAAACTCCTCTCCACCCCCTCCTCCCCTGCTCCAATCAATCAACCTCAGCATACCTCTCCTGGCTGAAACACACACAGCCTTTCTTCACACTTTGCAAACAAAAAGAAAAGAAAGTTTCATTTTTAAAATCTTAGGAGAATGTATTAGAAGGTCTTATCTTCTGCTCTGTTAATTGCATTCTAGTACAAAGCTGCCTCCTGTGTTAGATTACATAAAGTTAGATAAAGAAAGAATAAATAATACACAAGGTCAGTTGCTACTGCAAGGCAAAAGTTTCATTTCTTTTTTTCCCAATGAAAACAAGCAAAACAAATTATACGCATATTTTCTTTGTGGGTATATATACTATTTTTATTTTGTAAGGGTTACCACTTAACTAGTACAGTTTTAAACATCAGGTACCCTTTCATTATAATGATTTTCTTGATTGTGCAAACAAATATACAAAATATGTTCATTACATGTCACCAAAGTAGTCTGACAATTCTATATTCCAATTAATCTCTCACCATTGTATGGAGGCAGACAAACTGATATCCTTTTTCCTGTAATGGTCCAACTATCAATTTTCCTGTAGAAAAAATTTGATTGCGAAAGCTCTTGCAAAAAGATATTTTTTGGGGAGGATCACTGTGATCATAGTCTTCACCTGTTTTGACACATTCTAGAATTTAGAAAGAAGAGGAAAAAAAAAAAAGTTACTTATGATTGTTTCATAAACACTAAATTAAAGAAGTAGGGACTTCTCATACCCATATTTATTTCTGTTCCTGTAACTGGATCAAGAACCACAGTAGGTCCTAAGGGTTGCATGTCTGTAGGTTTAGAAATGTATTCTGAAAAATATATAAAATTTAAACATTAAAAAGTGTATTAAAAATAATGCTAAAACATACTCATTTTGCAGTGCCATATATTAAAAGTATCCATATTAAAAGTCACTGCTTAGCCAGCTTGTCAGTTCATGTCCTACTTCTTTCAGTATTTATTGGTTTCAATGCAAGCAACATAATTTTGCATTATCTGAAATGGTTCATAGTGCAAAGAGTACTTACTGCAAAGTTGTATTGTAAAAAATGCTGCAGCAACATTTTTTTTTTCAAGAGATACAAAACATATCTAATGCAATACAATAAAAGACAAATTTCCACAAAGAGAAAAGCTTCATGGCAAACCAGATCCCCAGACATAAGGCATGAATATAGTAAATGACACGGGGAAGGAAGGGATGGAAAGGAAGGAATAAGGAAGGATAAAAAAAAAAAGGGGGAGGAAGAAAGAAGGGAATGCAAATGAAGTAAAGAAAAAGGATTCTTTATTTTGGGAGAGAAAAGAAAATTAGAGTGGTAAAAAAAAAATTTTTTTTTAAGGAACACTATAGGGTCAGGAACACAAACATGTGTTAAAACCACCATCCAGACCCCTCGTGCCTCCATAAACATAGCAAAATCTTACTTGTATTCAAGCCTGAAGCTGTAGCTCTGTGTGCTGTTTGCCTCAGAAAAACAAGCTGTCTGCTGACATCATCAGAAGTGGTAGCCTGATCCAATCACAATGCTTCTCCATAGGATTGGCTGAGACTGACAAGGAGGCAGATCAGGGGCAGAACCAGCACAATTTAAACACAGTCCTGGCCAATCAGCACCTCCTCATAGCGATGAACTGAATCAATGAATCTCTATGAGGAAAGTTCAGTGTCTGCATGCAGAAGGAGGAGACACTGAATGTTTGAATGCATTTTAGGTAGCCATGACCGAGGAAGGATCTCTAACAGCCATATGAGGAGTGGCCAGCGAAAGTTATCACTAGGCTGTAATGTAAACACTGCATTTTCTCTGAAAAGACAGTGTTTACAGCAAAAAGCCTGAAGGTAATGATTCAACTCACCAGAACAAATTCATTAAGCTGTAGTTGTTCTGGTGACTATAGTGTCCTTTTAAAAACCTATATGCTAGCATAAATTGCACAATACAAACAAAAGTATCTTTAAAAAGCTATAATTTTACAAAATAGGATATACAGAGTCATTAAGTTGATCAGAGAGTCGTTACTTCTCTTGAATTTAAACCAGTGAATAAAACCTTGCAAACCACCAGTATTCGCCCATGTGATGGTTTAAAGATTTAGAAAACTACATCACAATTTATTCCAAAAACAGCTGGGTACATTACAAATATCTCGATATGGAATGTAAGGTGCAGAGCTCAGAGCTTTCATAGATATACAGGAAACCAAGATTGAGTGCTTACTTCTTTGCATATTGTGCCCATAACAGAACATAAATATTGCCCAGAAAAAGTTTTTAACTTAAAGGGACACTATTGGCAGCAGAATAACTTTAGCTTAATGAATCAGTTTTGGTGTACAGATCACGCCCCTGACATCTCACTACTCAATTCTCTCCAATTTAGGAGTTAAATAACTTTGTTTATGCAGCCTTAGTCACACCTGCAAGTGACTTGTACAGCTGTTATAAACACTTTCTGTAGAGAGAGATATCTAATGCTTAAACTTCATTTATTACACGTTTAATATATACATTTTCTTATCTCTGGCTTGGTTAATAGCCTTCTAGCCCTGCAGGTGACTCCAGTGTATGAGTAAACTTAAATTTATAGAGCCGGAGATAAAAACTTTGAAAGTATGTTAACATCGGATTAAAAATTAAAACCATCTTTTTTCATGCAGACTGTAGAGTCACAGCAAGGGGGAACCCGCACAAAACTCTGACCTCAACCCCATCGAACACCTTTAGGAGGAACTGCAACTGATATTGAAAGCCAATCCCTTCACGTCCAACATCAGTGCTTGAACTCACAAATGTACTTCTACATGAAGGGGCCAAAATTCACACAGTAAAAAAATAAAAACTTTGTAGAGTGTGATACCATGTCATGGTATGCCTCATTTAATTTCCCACAAAATGAGGCATAACATGACATAAAAAAGCAACAATGGGACCCCTAACACCAGAGAAACATATGTTAGTATAAGGAGAGAGGAGAACAGGAACCATGGCATTTTTACATAGAAAAAAAAAAAATCAAAGTGATTAAATTTTTGAGGTACTGAAAAAGATTAACACTTAGACACATATACAAACCACATATATAATGCTGCAAGCAGAATCCTTTGATGCAAACTAAAGACAGACAGCATTCCACAGAGGCAATTTGAATCAGGATAGGAGTTATAAGGGAAGATCTAAATAAACTTCAACTGGAAAAGACAGCATTTTGAGTGATGAACTTAAAGTCTGATTTCTACTGTAACATGTAATAAGGGTGAAACACTACTTGCAAGTAAGCTAATGAAAAAATTGTCCTCGAGTGCCATCCCTTTTTGTTAACAAGATAAAAGGAAAAAAATATGAAAGCCCTCAGACCATCAGTGATCCAATTGTTACCCTTTATGGACATTTCTGTAACCTATATAATTTTTGGGAAACAATTCAACCTAATCCTGAGGGGTTCGTGAATTATTTAAAAAAATAATTCAGTAGATTTGCCATCACTGCCTGCAGGTGTGGTGAAGTCTATAGTAATTTTAATCTCAGCTGATGAGGTACTCAAAGCAATTACATCTACTAAACTTCACAATTCTCCTTCACCAGATGGCCTTATGGCATATCATTATAAAACAAATTATACATTCTAACATTTTGCGTATATATTGTTTTACAGAGTTTTAATGCACATGTGAATATAGGAGTCTTTCCAAATGATTACAACTCTTCACAAACATAGTAAACCACCTACTCTGTGCCCACATTTACACCAAATATCTCTAATAAACACTAATTATAAAACCTAATAAGTATTTAGGATCTTCGATACCACCCCTTCTTGACCTACTTGAGAAGTTTTATGCCATGCTGGGACTTAAAGTTAACTGGACTAAATCCAGTGCGGTACATCTTGGAAGGGGACCACCCACTTAGCTGTCTGGGAATGTGCCACTGAAGTGGCAACCAACAGCCCTACAATATGTGGGAATTAAGATCCCAAGAAACATTGCCCTTTTGAATAAACTGAATATTCCACCTATCCTTTTCCTCTATTTTTTACTGAATTGGAAAATTAGCACAAACTACAACTATCATAAATAGGACGAGCCAATCTCTATAAATCGATTTATTTCCCAAAGCTGCTGTATCCGCTTCAGGTGCTCCCAAGTCTTACTCTCCAAAAAAAATGAATGTCTTTTGAACAAAAAGCTGAGGCACTTTCTTTGGCAGGGGCGGGGCCAGGCTGAGCTTAACTAAACTTTATCACATCACATCCACTGGAGGACTTAATCTTCCTAATGCCAAAGAGTATAGTTTGAGCGCTCAGCTTCGGCATGCGCTTGACTGGATTGCAATCTAGATACTTAGACCTGGCCTTGGACTCCTTTCTGGCGCTGCCGGATTCCCTTCTGGCCCTCCTATACAAACCACATAATCTACTCCCAGACAACATTCTTTCCAACCCCCTAGTGGCCATCCCTATTAAGGCTTGGAAACTGTCTCGCGACAAATTAGGGGCGAGCCCACAATCTTCTCTACATTTACCCTTGCTCTGGAATCTTGAGTTCCAGAGTGGATCCAAAACATACCCATTCCCTACATAGTCAAGGTATGGTATCGTGTCATTGAGTTCCTTCGTAGATTTTAACACAACATTTCTTACCATAGGTTGCCAGAGAGAACGCATCCCGGGCCTTCCCATACCCTGGTTTGCATACTTTCAAGTACGACACTACTATTGCAATATAAGTCGGCGCCTCGTGGTTTCAGATTGGAGTAATTCTCTGGATTATCTGTGATGCACCAAAAAAACCTGCATTTTACTCCATTTCTACCCTTTAGCGATACAAACCTGACTGGAACACACTACGAACGGGTCTGGTGAAGTGGAAGACCCACTTCCCTGACATTCCACTTGAATACATCCTAAACGCACATTACACACAGAGTCAACTGCTCCCCGTGGTTTCTTATCGAGACATGTTCCTGATAACCACACACTACTCATTTTACCCTGCATAGACTTCATCAGATGGCAAGGAAATACTCCTCCACCTGTTTCAAATGCACCCATACCAATGCGGACCTGTAATACTGTCTGTGGGAGTGCTCCCTGATTCAGAGCATCTGGAGGGAGGTTGCCCAATACTTAACGAATAACAATATGATGCCTTTGCCACTAAATCACAGTTTCCTTTTGTTAGGACCCATTCCTGGCAACCCCGTGCTTCATAAACGTTTCTCCAGGATCATAGCAGCAGTGGGCCGCAAGACCACTCTTCAGGTCTGGAACCAACCGGGTACTTCCCACCCTGGATACCTCCTTTCAATCAAAAATAAGAGCAACGCCGAAATACATGGCTTGGTTCTCGGCTGAGATGGTGGCAGGGTGGGATCCTTTGAGTACTCTATCCAATGCTACTCTACTATAACTCGGTTTGTTATTCTTTTGGGGCAGTGAGGGGTTCAATGGTGCGGTGCTTGTATATAGTTAAACCTACACTGATTTTGTACTAGAGCTAAGCCGGGTAAAGTCTATGGGCCGCATCTCAATACTGAGTACCTAACCCATTTCCCACCACAGGGAATTGTCACTAACCCTTTGGATGGCACTGTATTTGGTCATAATATTTCCAGGGTATTCCTTCTTATCATAATGGCCTGACATTAAAGTCAATGTTCAAGAGCTGCAGAGATACCCCTTTCCTTATTATTGCTTTTCTAATTAATAATAATTGTTTAAGTGACCAAATGACCAAGGTTGAATGCAGATGTTGCTTTAATAATCAAGGTAAGATGTCTTTAAAAAAAAAAAAAAAATTTAATTGAGATCCTGCTGAACTTCGCTACACCTAAACTGGCTGAAAATTCTCCATAGATATATTACACTTGATATATTTTATTTGTGTTTTGTTATACTTCTGTTTTATTGTTAACTGCAAAAAAGTGAATGTGAATGCTTAATGTACAATCTTGATGCTGTATCTATTCCATGACAACTTTCCTGTGGCTGAGACTGTGCTTGACATATGTGTTGTATTTTACATTCAAAAAAAAATGTTTACATTTAAAAAAAAAAAAATACACTGTACACTTACAGATTAATATTACTTGCATTGAGAACATATATTGTCATAATAATTCACTTTGGTAAGTTAAATAAAAGTTAAGGGAAGAAAAATAAAGAAACCTTCTTCACCTTTGTTATTATTTTGCTTTTTGTTAGCAGTTTTTTTTCTCTTTTCTTTATCTTGAGCTGGTTTGACGCCATCAATCATCAAGCCACCTATTATAGAATTACATTTTGTTAAATAAAAAAAAATATATATATATAAAATAAAACTAAACAAGATGGTTTCATAAAATCAGCTGCTTTAAATGTAGTGATAGACTTGTTCATAATGGTTAACTTAATATTCAGGGTTCTGGATCCTCTCAGACCAATGTTGGTTGCTACAGGTACCTGTGCACAACATGTAGTTACATAAACCCGGTCAAAGTTTTCTACCGTCCCCACTCTGGCAAACAGTAACAAATGAAACACTGCATCTCAAGTCAGACAGAAAATGTAATTAATAAGATTATGTGCCCACATGTACTTGCCTACTTTGGCATGACTAAGCATGATTTGAGGGAGAGATTCTGCAATCATATCGTCGATCCATTATGCAACCTTCTATGCTAAGACACCACCGGTGGTGAGACATTTTTTGAGGGCAGATCAGCTGCTTGCATCACTTACGTTTATGGGGATTTCCATAATCCCATTCACCACAGAAGGGGTGACGGGGACAATGAACTCCTGTGCAGGGAAGCATTTTGGATCTATACACTAGACAGTACCCCCAAAAGAATTTAATTGTATTAGCCCTTTGTCATGTTCTTTGTCAAAACATTAGAATGTCTGTGCTTTTTGATAAACTTGTTTTTGAGCACAATATTGAGGACTCAATGTGGAGATTTGTATAGGTCAATCTAATTTCTAAAAAAAAAAGTTTGTTTAAAGTATTTCTCTTTTTATATTGGAAGATACATTGGACGATATTCGCGAGTTATGATTATATAACTGCCTGATCCTCCCTCGATACACCCCGTGCTCACTACAGTGGGAGTACAGAAATAATTCTCACTATTCTACATGATGTAGCAATGGTTTGTAGTGACTCAGCACACTTAGATGTTATAACAGATTGCAAAACGTTGAAAACACGGATGCCCTATTATGCTATTTTGTTGATTTCTGATTATAGTATGCTGTATGCTCTGCCCTTCTGTGATTTGGATCTTTTTCTCTAAATTTAAATTTGTATCTGCCAGATGTTGGCTGCTCACTTTGGTTGATCTTTGATTGTATTTTATTTTACATTATAAAAATACATCTTTATGGGGTTTTTTTTGTTTTGTTTTTTGGCTGGATTTTAACACCTAGGAAAGAAATTTTATTGCAGAGTCGTAGAGTGCCCTTTTCATGTTTTGTTAAAATAAATAAATTCTATATACCTACTTTACCTTTGTTCTTATTTTGTTTTTTATTAGCAGGTTTTTTTCTATCTTCTTTGTCTTGAGCTGGTATGATGCCATCAATCACAAAGCCACCTATTATAGAATTACATTTTGTTAAATAAAAAATATATAATAAAATTAAACAAGCAGGATTACATAAAATCAGCTGCTATAACGTAATGCACAACATTTCTGGACATTGTCTGGACTATGTCTACATAGTACTCCATTCAATGAATACAGTTCATCCTGTATTTGGTGCGCCGATAATGCAGTTTCTTCACATTATTATCCATTATGCAGTGCACAGCAGTGAATAGGCACAAAGAAAATTACCTTCAGAAATTCTCATTGTGCTTCCAGTTTGTCAAACCTTTACCTCCTTCAAGACTTGTTCATTGAAGAACAAAAAAAAAAAAAAAAAGACAAATTCCACCAAGGTTATTCTGCAAACTTCTAACTCACACCCTGGCCACAAAACTAGGGTGCACTCATTATATAAATCTACATATGCATCAGACATTAAAAGTATACTTTCCTGCGTTCCTAATTACCTACAAGAAACATTTTATTTGCCCTGAAATTCCTGAACAAGAGGAGCCAAGTTTCTTAGAATTAATCCAAAAAAAAAAAAACACATCTAAACACCAGATATTTCCTTGGAATTGCATCAAAAGACACACCAGAAAGTACTACATATTATGTTGGGCATGTGAAATTAATTTCTGCTGGAGCTCTTTCCTAAGAAAACCTCTAGTCTTTCACAGTACAATGTGAAAAAAAAAAAAAAAAATACAGGAGATGCAAGCAAGTGCCAGTGCAGTAAAGTTGTTGTTCTTTTAAGTCAAAAAGTCCAATAGAGAAAAGGCAACTTCACATTGTGCAATGGATGACTATGGCATGCACAAAGACCTCTGTGGAAGATCTTGAAGTATCTTCCATAGACTTATTTTGTGTCACAAATTGTGATACATTCTTTCCTTCCTTTTCTCTAATAAGGTGCTATCAGGCATTTACCGTTTTTTTGTTTTTGTTTTTTTTTTTTATAAAAAAATAAATAAAACAATATATATTTATTTATTTATATCTCTATATCTATATCAAGAAATTGTTTTTAAAAAAAATACAAATTCTAGATGTTACATGTAAATTCTATATAGATAATTAAAAAGGGAATATCTCACCTGATTGCCGAGACAGATAATTTGCACGTTCCCCTCTCCAGTATTGCAAAGGTTTAACTTTTGTTCTTCTTGAGCGGCGTACATTGGGAGTATGTGAAGGTAGAACTAAACAAATGAAGGAAATTAAAGGAAAAAGATGAAAAAAAGGCGGTCAAGAAAAGGCAAAAGGAAATTACAAGAGACACAATTTGTATTAAGCACCAATGACCTAATCGGACTAAACATTGTAGAATTTAAACAATTACATGAGAAACTATTGCAGTCAGTGATGCCATACTAAATCTACACGACAGTGTTTTTTTAATGTTTTTATCCACGGTGCTTTCCAATTTATGCAAAGAGACTATTTAATTATACCAAAATGGGTTATGTAGCAAGACACACTGATAAAAAAAAAAAAAAGAAGAGAGTTATGCTAGTGGGATTCAGCTTCTTGCAAGGTACTATGCAAGAGCTTACAATTTTATATCATATGCACTCTTCCTCTGTTTTCTTAAGTCAATCAATAGCCACATAGAAGAAGAATGTGAATCAGATAAGAAAGTCAATTTTACACATTACCAAATCACACTAGCACCCAAAAAAAAAAAAAAAGAGGCTTCATGGACTCTAAGCATAAAGATTAAATTAATTTATTACGTAATTACATGTATATTTTTTATTGTGTACAGTCCAAACTGATCCAGGTCCTCTTTAGGCAAAATGTAGCAGGATACTCACTGGAAATAATAATTCAAAATTTTGGCTCCGGTCTTTTTTGATGAACTGCATGCACTACTCGTCAACAATGCATGTAGCTCTTTAAAGCGATCAAGGTGAGAGCAAGGTAAATCCCTATTCACAGGACTCTGGTATCATTGGATACCTCTGTCATATGAAACCATTTTTAGTGACCCCAGACTGATCGAGGAGCTTCATGCGACACAGGATGTCATAGCTGCTTAGAGGCCTTTAAATACATTGATTTCACCACAGCTGAGCGATTGAGCTCAGCCTCAGTGTTTCTGGGCTACAGGCTGCTTCAGGAAGACCTCTAGGGTCTGAATAGACCCAGGAAGGGTTCCCAGGCTTGTCCTCAGCCCGTTTAAACTATTGACTGGCATTGCCAGCTGCCCAGCATCAATCACAGTGTAATCTAGGGATCGACCGATTATCGAAATAGAGATACCGATATTGCCGATAATACATACTTGTTATGACCCCGGTGGTCCGGGGGGGCCGCAGCAAGCGCTTACTTACCTCCCAGAAGCTCCCGTCAGCTCCTCTGTGTAAATCTCGCAAGTCCCGCGGCCATCATAGCAACACTCCGCACAGCACGCAGTCCACGAGATTTACACAAGGGAGCTGAAGGGAGCTGCTGGGAAGGTAAGTAAGCGCTTGCTGCAGGCCCCCACTGCTCAGTACATGCATTTTACACAAATTACAACCCTTCAGAAACAGACACACTACAAAAACCCACTGCATACACACTACATTCCCTATACGAACACTACACACACTGCATCCACTATACATACACACACTACACAAACACACCCTGCATCCACCATACAAACACACACAGCTCCCCTGTCTAAACACACTGCATCCACTACATGTGGCAATAGTAAAACATGCAGTTGTATCGCTAACCGCAAATGTATCACAAGTTAAAGACTGACAAATAATAAAGTTGCTCACCAATCTTCTGGTTCACATTATGCTCTACATCTTCACTCGTAGATTCTACGTGATCAGATAAAAGACAAAAGTAGTGGTTTGAATAACTGGTTTGTCTAACAGACTGTGTAATCAAATACAAAACCCTTAAAGTGTATTTTAAATTCCCAAACAAATTCTACACACATCTACTCTGGCTGTGATTGTTCTATGTGAAATGAAGCAGTAGGCAAGTTAGGTGTCAGATAACAGTAGAGTGTGAACCAACATAGCTGCTCAGCTAAGTAAAATTTTCTCCCCAAAAAAATATAAATAATTTTTTAACCCCTTAAGGACACATGACGGAAATATTCCGTCACGATTCCCTTTTATTCCAAAAGTTGTGTCCTTAAGAGGTTAAAACATCATTAAATTTCATTACATGTGAAACTTTTAGAAAGTGAGACAATATAAAAATTGTTGTCTTTTAAGTCCCCTGGAATGCACACTGTATTGTACACGAATGAGATAGGTGTGCAGTGGTAAATTGCACAAAATGCAGTCCAAGACTGTCTTTGATTGGGTAATCATCTTCAATTAAGGGCAAGCGGGGATAGAAAAAAATTACAGTCTGGGCTTGATTTCCACAGATCTATGACAAGGAGGG